TCAGTGTTGCTGGTAGAAGCAGAGGGAGAATCCTCCCTAGTGAGAGGGGGAAGTGTTATAATTGTCATTGCTAGATGATTTGAAAATTAGGAAGCCAAAGAGGGTGGCTGGAGAAAATAAATCTAACCTTCCTAAATGTGTCCAGTGATATTTCTTTCACAGGATTTTTAATAATCTACAGTATAACCAAGACAGAAGAAATGTTAATCCTTTTCCTTTTTCTTTTTATGAGACTAGTAGAGAATAATGCTTAGTATCTCACTAGTCATCAAAGGCAACCTAATATGCATTACATTCTTCTGCATTTACTATTAATCTCTATGTACTGTTCAGCAGCCTCAATCTCACTTGTGTTGTGTTTTCTATTTGGAAGAAGGTATGCGTATTTGATTCTTAAGCCATAATGTGTTTCTCCCTGTTAATTTTTATGTGGAGGCAATGGCTTTTTGTCTATTCATTATTTCACAGATTGCTCAAGGCTAGTTATAGTCCATGGACAGTTACCTTTAAGGAATTACATGTAAAACAAAGAACAGGCTATAGAATGTTATTCCTGTTTGAGACAATTATTGTGTTGGAGTCAAGTTACAGTTTCCTTAAGTATTTCGCGTTTTTAATACTTGCTTTACATCTGTTTTCCAGCAGTGTTTGATGAGTTGTTTTTAGTGGAAAGATTGAAATACCCTAAGCCAGCGCTGTAGGCTTGTCCTGTAAAGGAAGCTACTTAAAATATTTTAAGGACACAGCTTAAGTATTAATATTAGAAATATTAACAAAAACCGCTTAATCTTGAAACCAGTCTCGTGTCTTGCCCTTTATGAACCTCACTTAGCTCTGTTATAATATACTTCCCATTTTTGTGATTTAATTGGTGTCTGCTGTTATCCTGTCAGTTGATTAGCAGCATAAAATGGTTATTACAGTGTTTTAAAACTTGAAAACCATTCTCAGAACTCTTGGATGTTGGAGTCAATAGAAATGGTGGTTTTTTGGTTCCTTTACAAGTAATTTTAACAACCATCTAGAAAATTAAGTAGATAGCTATCAACTAACTGTCCAGTAAACCGTCTGGATGGTGAATGTTATTGCTTGATTATAGCTGTTGATTGTGAAGGTAACTGGCCTTCCTTCCCAATTCCAACTTGAACATGTTATTACATGTGAAGGATTGTGTACTCTGGCTCCTAGAAACAGGATTATCAGCATCAATAATTTATTGAAGATAGGATATTGCCATAATTTAGAGTACAGTAATCGATACAGTTTTGGGACTCTTGCTATAGTGCTGGAAAGGAACAATATTTAGATATTACATTCTTGTCTGGCTTATCTGTTTAGATACAACTACATGCCGCTGCTGAACACAATGAATGCAAGCACTATGAGATAAAATATTTTTACTGCTGTCTAATTTGTTTCAGCTGCTTATGTGAGCTTCCCATAGTAATAATGCAGCTGTAATTCTTTTTAGTAGATTTACCCTAATTTCTCTTAGCCTGGGATGACTGGATTCTCTTGATCCTAAACAAAGGCAGCATAATTTCCTTGATATACATTGTCCATCTAATAAGATAAATGCTTAGACATATTTTAAAATTCTTATTATATCAATAGGTCCTGCCTCTGCTTGCAAACAATTACTTGTGTGAGTAACTTTACATTGGTGTAGCCCCAATGAGCTCATTGGCACCTCAGACATGGACAGTACTATTGTGATGCCCAAGTGTTTCCAGACTCGGGGTCTTAGTCTTTTATTTTATTCAGCGTACTCTCTGTGTTTCTCTCTCTGATCTATTTGGCTGCCTTCTAGAAATTGCTAATGTTGAAAAAAAAATTTCTTTTGACACGGTACATTTTTGGGGTATAAAGAAGCCACACTATCTGTATGATGATGATTTTCTCATGCAATTAACAATTGAACTGTGAAACTTGCTCTTTGCAAGGAACTGAAGTGGGAAAATAAATTGAAAAAAAGAATCTTAAATCCGTTTCAGTTATGGAACTTAAGCATGACTCGTAACAAAAGCCTGCACAACATTTTCAAATGAAACGTGAATTTAAATTGACATCTGGATGAAAACAGGTCATGGCTAACTTTGTACTTTAAGCTTAATTTAATTTCTCTTCTAATTCTGTCTTACAAGTAACAAGCTCTTTACTTTGGACTAAGGCAAATGTGTAGTAATTTTTTTAATTAACCTGTAGCACTGTTCACATTAGAAAACTCTCCCCAACTATCTATCTATCTATCTATCTATCTATCTATCTATCTATCTAAAATATTTTTTTTTTAGAAGAGTTAAATGAAGTTCCCTTCTCTTTCTTGTGTTGGAAATTCTTTCAGGGAGATTACCCAAGACTTTCAATATTTTGTTGAACTAAAAAAAAGAAAAGTTTTATACAGCCTTTAAATACTTGATTTCTTTGGGAGGGGGAGGAAGTTGTCAGATTTAAAATCTGTTTTATGTTGGTTAAAATCTATATCTCAGTACTGAAGAAGAATGTGAGAAGTAGAACAATCAAGCTGTCTTCATTGTTCAAACAGAACAAAATGAAAAATTAAATGGTGTAATTTAGGTGTAGTGAATTGAGTGTTTACAGTTCTCTCCATTTCAGGAGTCTATCTATAACTGTCTTAATTACATAGATAAAGATGCTTAGGGTTTTTCTTTTTAATAAATGCCTTATTCCATGTTTTAACCTGTTAGTTTTCCTGTACTCTTACCCCCCAGTGTATACATTTGTGCTTCTTGTTAGTCTGTGTCAAATAGCAAATGTTTAGTGGCAGAGTAGTGGTGATATTGTACATTTGCTTTTTTCAGGAAATGTTTTTCATCATCATCGTTTGCAATAATTTGTCTGTAGTCCTAGGTCAAACATTGCAAAAGATGTTCCCTGTGCTTTCAGTACTGTATTTCAGTGATATTCCTCAAGTATTTCTGTGTCCAGATGTCTCAAAAATATAGAAAAAATGCCAAGTTGTCTTCTGAACATAATACAACTCAATTGCATTCTTCCCATCAGTAATTGCTTTCGGATATGAAGCTCAACAGAGCATAAACAAGACATTTATTGTACTAAAAATACATTTCTGTTTCAAGCTACAACATTTTTGAATGCCTGTATTAGTGTCCATAATATTTCAACTCTAAAATGGCATAGATATTGATATGTAATCCAGTTCAGTGATGAATACATGCTTAAATTGCAGCGTTGCTAAAAATCGCTCAACTTTTTCATGATGCCAGCGACATCTCAGGAGAGAAGTTTGTCATACTGTCTACTTCTGCTTTTTATTTAATTACCCCATATGATCAGCTTGGTTTCAGCAGAGTGCTAGCATATGCTCAGCAGACCAACAGGAGTCCATGCATTGTATTTCAGGGATCTTTTATCTAATGTAAAAAGTGCATTACTCAAGAGAGAGGAGTGAAGGTATCCATGCTGAGGATGGAAGATATGTGGGAGGAGCCATCAAAATATTTCCCATTTCACAACTTATTGAAAATAGAAGTAGAAGGTTTTGAGCATTATGCTTTTTTGGATTTCATTGGTACTGCTAATTTGGAAAGTCACATTTGAGGCTCTAGGTAGGATGGTGAATATATTGGGACTGAAATGTACAGTACTATTTTGAACTGACTTCAGCACATCCATCAGACATATTTCAGAACATCATAATTAGGTTCTAAAAAGGTATTCCCTCTTCCCATGTACCGAAGTGATTCCAGTTGAGATCCTCATCTGTAACTGGTTCTACGTGGGTAGATCATTCCATACGTGGAGCCAGTTGCAAGATTGGGTCCTAAATGTATGTTTATCAGCTTATTTCTCTAAACACAGGTCTGTTAAGTGCTGTGCAGGTGAAAATAAGTTTTTCAAAGTAGAACAGAATCCTACAAGAGGTTTCCTTATCCAGGAGAATTTTTTGTTAGACACTGAGAGAGGTGATACTGTATAGCACATCGAATTTACTGCCTAATATCAGTGTAAAAGTTGTGTTGCAACTTCCAACAATAATTCCTTGTACATAAAAAGCATAACAAATTGCTAACTCTCAGGTGTAGTGTTTTCCTGATGACTATAGTTACATGCATAGAGGTTTCAAGCTCTATCTATCTGTCTGGAGTATTTATGGAAGCAGGCCCTTTCAAATCACAGACCTTTGTTTATTAAAAATGCTAACATGCAGTAAACTGGTTTTGAGTACTTTAATGCATACTATACTAAAATTTAAGTAAAACCTCCTTGTTTTAGAGTTGGTGAGTAAAGACTTAATTGCATGATTCTTGCCATTATTGAGAACTGTGCAGCTAAGTCCTTTCAAACTGGTCTGAACATACTGGGAGCAAGCATCATGACTCTGGGCTGAATTAAATCTCTGCATCAGTCCAAGTCTTTAGCAGTGCTTTGCATTGCTAAATGTTACCACGATTGATTTGTTTTTAGTTATTCAACTGATGCTGGTTATTAGAATATTCTTGTCTCAGTTTAAGATGGTGCAATAGAAAAAAAATTATGATGGGAATCTCTTCCTTGTTTTGAAGACGAAATTTTGTTCAATTGCATTGGCAGTGCTGTAGCCTGAAGCAAATATGGTCTAAAGCAGGGGTGGCCAACCCATGGCACATGTGCCACAAGTGGCCTGGGCAGCTTGTGTGTATGACAGGACAGGGAACAGAAAGAAGAGCAACAGATCAGGCTGGGAGTACAGGGCAGGGAGCAAAAGGCAGCGCAGCATATTGGGCAGGGAGCAAAAAGCAGAACAGCACATAGGCATGGGAAAGGATTTGAGTGGCACTCTGGGTGGGTTAAGGGCTTAGTTTGTGGCGCACCTGCCAAAAAAAGGTTGCTGCCCCTGCCCCCATGGGTATAAAGTAATACACTGCCATTTGAAAATCCCTTCTTTTTAAAAAAAACTCCACCAATCTATGTGTAGTTTCAAATCACTGTAAATCTGTAGGTAGGTACGTATGACAATTGTCTGTTTTTCTTTTTAGGGCTCATGTAATCAAAGAAGTTTCTTTGTTGTGTGTATCTTTTCAGAACACAACAGGAATTCAAAATGAATCAGGTGAGTTTAAATGTAAGACTTTATCAAAGTGCTTTACTTAGATGTTAGAATAGTTAATAATTTACAACAGAAGTACCAGTTATCCACCTGAAAACCAGAATGTTACTCTGTTCTTTACAATCTTTGCTATCCTTAAATTTCATAGTTCTTTTCTACCCACAGTGTTTGTGAACTTTACCTTACTTTGATTTAGCTTGGCTTTTCTTCTTGAATATACCCTACTCAGATGTAAGACATTGTGTCTGGCACAACTTAAAAGAACACCTCTCCAGGAAACCCATTTTAGTCTCTACTTGTAGTTCATCTGCTTATAAGAACATTTTGAAAATTGCAGACTTCATCTTTCTCAAAACCCATGTTCATCTACTGTGGTGATTTGAGACTGATTCAACAAGAAACCTTCACATTATTCCAATTCCTAAAAATTCTTTCTTCAGAACAAATTTGAAGGACAGATAATGAAAAGTAAAGTGCATTTTTAAAAAAAATAAACTAGCAATCTACTGCGTAGATATAAAAATATCCTGATACATAGCTTTGGTGTGTCCTGGAGCATGTTCTTCTGATCAGTGCCAGGTGATTTTATTTTTTCTGGACTTGCTTGTAATTGGCTAGGGTTGCTTTATATATGCTCACTATATAGATGCACGCATACTTTTTTTTTTAACTCAAGAATATTTATGGGTTAGATAAACACCTCTCTCACTTATAAATGTTCCTCATTTTTGGGTGGATTTAAGTTCCTCTCTAGAAGGGAATGGAAGCGTAGGATATGATAGTGAAGGATTATGATCAGTTTTTTGAGTTCACTGAAAATAATTGCTAAAAGCAGATGTTTCTTGTTGTTTCTGTGGCCAGAAACAACCTTGAATGCAGAATAATGTAAAGCAGGTAGCCGTGTGGTTTTATTTTTCCTTGACATTCCCTGTTTCTAATGAGGGCTTTTATTGCTCTCCTGCACCAAACATGCCATTCAGGAATAATGTAATTACTTTATCTCCATCAACATAGAACAGAAGCGCTACTACAGTAAAGTACACCCAACCAGTGCTACTACAGAGAGATAATTATAACTAATTGTAATGTGGAATTGGTTGGTGGGATTTCTCCTCTCTTGTTCCTCTTCTATTATGTTTTGCAGAAGCAGAGAAGTATTCTAATACATATTTATAATAAACATTGGTAGAAGATTTTATAGCAATCAAACTAAGCAGCATATAATGAAATGTGGTTTTTTGGGGTTTTTTTGTATTCATTGTAACACTACTGCTAATGTATCTAAGCAGCCTTTGCAGTCATGCTTGGAGTAGATGGAAATAACTGCATCACAGTTGCATTAAGTGCTTTTTTTTGTTAGTAAAATTTGTTTTGCATATACTCTGTGACATAACAGGGAACAGTGGATATACTCTGTTTGAATGGTAATTTTGTTCCAGCAGTTACCGAAGTGCACTAGAAATAGTGCTAAGAATGTGAAAGCTCCAAATTCAGTCTTTGATAATTCACTGGATCATAGAATAGCAGGGGGTTGGAAAGGACCTCAGGAGGTAATCTAGTCCAACCCCCCCAACTAAACCATCCTAGTCCAAGGGTAGGTCTAACTTGCTCTTAAAGATGTCCAGGGATGGCAGTTCTACAACTGTGTCCAGGGATGTCAATTCCACAATTTACTGTGGATAGTTCTTCCTTTCCACTGTCCTCCACCCCCACTTTTTTCTTCCAAAATCATTTTATTTCCAAAGTTCAGCATGGTTTGAGTTTTCTAGGAAAATCTACTCATTCTTATGTTGGGGGGGTGTTGTTGTTGTTATTATAAATGCAGTGCCATGTATACGGCATTTTACAGACCAGTAATAAGAAGTCTCTGCCTCAAGGAGTTTTCTTATAGTTGAAAACGGACATCTCTTGCTTTTTGCTTGGTCTCCAAAATACACAGAGCTTACCTGGCAGTTTAGGATTTAGTTTCCATTCAAATTAAGTGTCTGTTTAGCACCAAGTTTGGGGTTTTTGTTTTTTTGCAGTGCTTTTGTCACCTATTCACTGTTGACAAGCTGTAATGCCAGGTCTATATAAGAACTGTCTTTGACTGATGCTGAATATCTTCCAGGTGTCTTTGTATTACATCATTCTGCCTGTCTCTACTTTTATTGTTATATAAATGACCCTCAAGCCAGTGAAGCTTTGTCTCTCACAGATTATGCAAAAAATATTTTTATTATTGTCCTGGTTCGCTCCATAACATTTTTGAAGCAGTCCTGGAAAATGATTTCAGACATACTTTTTTGCATGGTTTTTACCTATATTGAAGAAAATAAGAATAGGAAAATTCTTGAACACTGGGATACTTATTTAATACTTCTGTTGTTCCTTGAAAAACAATAGTCATGAAAATTGCTTTGGAATTATCAGCATATGTTCTGCATTTGTATAAACGATTTCTCTGATATGCAAAATGTTTAATGAAATAGTTAAGTAAATAGCTTAAAAATAAACTTAGATCTTTGATACGTAACATCTGCTACATCTCCAAACGCACTGAGGTTATGGAGAGAAGCTGTGTATCACCTGGGGAAATTGGATGGAGAGCCATTTAGAAAGGGTGGTAGTGATAACAGTTGCTTAAGTAGGCAAATAACATTCTTAACCCCGCTTTTCCCAAAATTTAGAGCATGGCTCTTCAATTTAAGTTCAGCTTGTCGGTGCACAGTCACTTGTTGTTATAAATAATTTCTTCCAAAACTCTGCCAAATTGTATATTAACATCACAGCCAGTAGTAGCTGTTGCAGGAGCAGCCAAACCAAGGACCTTTAGCCACTCAGAACATTTTACTGTTTTGAATGGACTCCCTTTGCCTTATTCTCCAGCTCAGCTTCATGACATAATTGTCCCTTTTGCCATCTCCTGATTCACTTTATCCCTTTCATTGGCCTTTCCTTCAATGCATTCTGTCCTTCATATATCTTTAAGATGAGCTCAGTCCCTTCAAATTTAATGTACAAAAATGCTGCTGACCTGATATGTGCTATTATTGTGTTTACATTGCATGTGGTTTTATTTTAGTATGGTAATGAAAGTGACACTGCTTCAGAAAGGTTGCATGAAGTTGATCTAACCTTTTTCTTCCGTTTGTTCTTAAGGTAAATTTTCACCCCTCCAAATGCTAATGCATTATTTAAAATGAAAACCAACATTGTTTTTACCCATTCAGTGCACTGCAAATGTGAGTGCTAGCAACCCTGCTTTTATGTAACTTCACAGTGACAAGTCTGAAGAGTAATGATGGAGTTGAATAGTTGCTTTGGTACTTGGAGAAAATAAAAAAATTGAAGAATTTTAGTGCTACAGTCTCATTTTGGGCTTCTCTCGACTCTTTCAGGCAGGTTTTATCCCAGTGGTCTGTAAACATTGATTGTTACATACATAACAAATTGAACAACCCCCAAAATCTTTTTAGCAAAAGCTATTTAGATGTCTGTGACCAAAACCCTAGAATTTCTGCATTTGATAGACCACAGTCCCCAGCGGGCAACTGTTGCTCTGGAGTATGCTTATGTAACTGCATTCAAGTTACAAGAAAGTTTGAGTTGCAATAATTTAATGGAACAGATTTTGGTACATTATATATTGTATCAAATAATGTTTTGTTAGTTTTTGTGAGGTGTAAAGCTTGTGCCATGAGTGAGACCATTTCCAGTAATGTTCTTGTACATGGATTTGTGAGCTTAATTTGTGCAATGGATATAGAATTCATATGGCTGCATTCAGCGAGCTGTATGTGATCAGCTTTTAAACTTGTGTAAATAGATATAATTTTAAGCGCTGATTTTTATATATAATATATAAATAATACATAAGTTTTAGTAACTATCTATTATTAGAGCTGTTTGCAAGTCTTGTAGGGTGGAAAGTAGCACTAGTATTCTGGGATTCACTTCTGATGAGCCTAAACACACAAAATTAAACAGTGTCGATTTTTGGCTGACTGACTGTGGCTTAATGATATTCTTTGAGAATGAAAGCTGAGACACGAGCAATTTAATGGGGGAAAACATTCTTTAATCATAATTTCTTTGTCTGCCTAGTTGTGACCAGATTGTGAATATTCAGACCTCAAAAATCTCATAATCAATACTGTCATCTTGCATTTTTTCCCTATATGATGGTAGAAGCCCACCAGTCAAAGGCCAGTATGACCAGTAAGTGTAGAGTGCCTCTGCTGAGGTCCAAGTGGAATGCAATGATGGGAAGTTCTTCCCCACTAGTTTCCAAAGGCTAAAAACCGGGAAGGTGCTAGGACTCTGATCACTGTTTTCAGTCCACTCAGATGTTGCTAATTGTACATTTGTTGAAGGCTAAGTAGTATCTTGAACTTATGTCTGTCTCTTTCTGACTTTTGGAAAGGCAGCTTGACACTTTCTTTTGCTCTTCAGATTTCCACCTGCAGCAAATGAGGGAGAAGGGTGCTTTCTACTCAGGTTGTCCACTGTTGCAGGTGGAGGGGGGTCTTCTATCGTTTCAGATATTTGGGCCAGTCTCTCTTGCACACAGTTCTCTAGCTCATGTTTTTGCAGCTGTCAAAATGCTACTGAAGCAGTAGCAGGACAAATTTGATGACAGTTGTATTTTCATTCTACCTGGGGAAACTGATAACAGTGATAGAGGCATAGGAGCTGTCTCTGTGAACTATAGAAAACAATGTATCACAGCACTTGGCAAGTCGCATTGATAGACTATATGTTAAATAATACTTAATATAGGGACAAATGCCTGGGTTGGGCTTTCCCATTAGCCATGGAAAGCGTCCCAACTTGGTTCTGCTGAGTAGGTGAGTGCATTTATTAAATGCTGCATGATTTAAATATGTATGTAACAGGAGATTAGGATGGAGAAGGGAGAAAAAGAAGTTTTCAAATGCTAGAACTTTCTTCTAGTTGTACCCATAGTGAGCTGCTAAAGCCGATAGTGCATCAAAAATATATCAGGGCAGTAGCCACCAACA